TGGGAGCTGTGAGCAGGGATGTGGGAGCTGTGAGCAGGGATGTGCACCGGGCGGCACCGAGCGCGGGCCGGGAAGGGCACGCAGGGAGCCCGGGGACCCTCTACAAGACTGGGCAGGTTCGCAGCACCAGGTGGGTGCCGCGCTGCCTGTAGCTGCTCATTGGCCTCAGAGCCTGGCTCCGTGAGGCACGCTGCACTCCGGGGCCTCTTTTTATTCCCCAACTCTTTCTGTCAGTTTTAGACGTGAACAGCAGAAATCCCCGTGAAGTTGTGTGTTTCTTTTTACCCCTTTGGATCAGCCCTTAAACAGCGAATGCCCTCCACCGCCGCAGCACCAACCACGGAAATCTGCTGAATTCCACGTTCAGTGTAACACAGCCCACTGCTGCACACGTTGAGTGGCATTTTCTTGAACTAACTTATTTTGTGCAAGTCTCTCACCCCCCCAGTTATGTGGTAATCTCAAACTAATGATGAAACATTAAAATAAGTTTAATTACGCAGCAGCATTGCATCAAGGGGAAGACTTTCCACGTAGGCCGGTGTATCGAGGCAAATTGTGCAGAAGGAGCCTGTGGATTTGGGCGGCGCTTTGCATTTGCTGCCAGGGTGAGCAGGCTCAGATGCATGGGATTTGCCTTCTCCTTACAGACCCTGGAGGAGAGTGTTCCCAGCTAATAGGCACCTATGTGCCCTGTGAGGGAGTATTCACACGGTTGTACCCAGCAACTCCAAGGCAAGCACCAAGCTTTCCCACAGCGTGTCCCGGGCCTAGTGGCGCCCTCGACTCAGTGTCCTTCACCCTGGCTTGTAAGAGAAGGAAAGGCGGGAGCCTAAAGGCCACTGGCCGGCGAGGGGCAGCCGGGGCAGCCGGCAGGGCCTGCGGCGCCGGGCTCGGCTCCTGTCACGGAGCAAACCTTCCCGCAGGGGCACCAGGGCCACGTGGCCCTCGGGGGCCGCCCGCGCCCCCCCTGCGGCCGCCCCTGCGGCTGCCCCACACTCGGCAGTGGCCTTCGTCCCGCAGGCACTGAGGCCGTCGCCACGCCGAGGAGCCCCGGCCGCTTCCCGCTCCCGTTCCTGTGGACAGGCTCCTTGCAGGACGAGCCTCCCAGCGATCCCTCCTCAGGGAACTGCTGCCTGGTGTTAATCGCACGCGCTAAGCGAAGGTCAGACATGCAGAAATGAGTTGTATGAAGTGAAGTGAAGCCTCCGGAATCCGCCCAGCTGCCCCACTGGAGGTAAAGTGACCTGAACCCCAGCGAGCCTAATCGCTCCCGCGACTTGCTGGGTCAGCCACTGCGCCCTCCGTCCTCCCCCGTGACCCTCTTCCAAAGCTGCCCCACAAACGCTGCAGCTGAGCTTGGCAGCCCTCGTGCCTTACCTAACACCTTTCTGTTTAACACATCACTTAACAAATCTTGACAGCAAAATCTTGAGACCTTTACTCTCATGGTGCCTGTAGGAGAGAGGACAGCCTTACTTTTCTCCAGTTACATACGGAGTTGTATGGAGCTCAAAGAGATGAAGTGATTTTTTTTGAGGACACATTGACGATCCAGAAATGCAGCCCTAATCTTCAGACCTTATTTTAAAATTACCCTTTTTTAAATACAAAAAGGTCCTACCTGTCTGAGTGAGACTGTAGGATCAACCTACACCATACGAGACCAACTTTGGTCTTAATCTTTCCAGAGTCCATGTTCCACTGCTCTCCTAACCAGGCCCTCTCTGCCCTACAGGCTCTTTCTGAAGCTCTGAGGACTCAGTGACTTGTTCTCATAGGAATTCAGTATTTCCTTCTTTTTCCTAAATGCAGTATGTCTGTGCTTGCCATGCTGCAGCCGCGGCTCACTAAGGTTTACAGTGCTGCCCCAAGTCTAATGAGCCGGTACAGGCTCCGAAAATGCCTGTTAAAAATCCCACGTTTTGTCAAACCGCCTTAAAAGCTCCAGCCCACTGTGAGGAGATGGCCCCTTGGTGTTTTTTCCCTGTGTGCACTTTCAGAACCGAGCTGGTGTGTGAGAGACCTACCTGGAACAGCGTGTTTGGTCCCTGCAGCCTGGCAGGACTCAGAGGAGCGACAGGGCTGAGGCTGCTCCAGAAGTGGATGCTGGACAGCAGCGGGCTTGGGGTCAGCAATAATCCATTCGGGGTCTGCAAGACAAAAAGCACCCCGTGACGCACGTGCCGGGGCTTGCAGCTCCTGCTCGGGTGTCCCCAGCAGCTGCCGCACGACACTTCACCGAGTGCCTTGTCCCTCCAGACATTCATCGTGCTCAACGTACTGCCCCGGGCTGGAGCAGCTGTCCCTCCCATCCTGTCCCAACGGGGTCAGTGCTTCCCATTCGGTGTCCCTCACAGGCAGAGCGACTTGGTGTGCGCCGGGGTTTGCGCATGGAGATGCAGAGTTCCCGCTGCTTGGAAGCGCACGTGTCACTCCACAAAGCGCCGCACATGCCCCGGCTCCCTGGAATAATTATTTGCCTTTTTGAAGGCCAGCAGCAAGTTGAACCCGCTGCAGCTCTTGATGCCTCAGTGCAGTTGTGCATGGAGTGGAAGAGCCACCGCTGCCCTTTGCAGTCTGCTCCCCTGTCGGCTCCTGCTGGAGACGGCGGCAGGTTCGGCACCGGGGCGGCAGGTTCGGCACTGGGGCGGCACCGGGGCGGCACCGGGGGCTCGCGGGCCGGGGCTGTGGCGAGCAGAGCTGGCAGCCTGCTCTGCAAGGGCCCCGGGCTGAGAGCAGCAAGAAGCCGAGGCTCCTCTCAGCTCTGAGGCTGCTCTCCCCATGCCAGGGCTCACGGGGAGAGCTGCGAATTCTCTGCGGCATTTTCAGGCACAACTGCAGGGGAGCTCCAGTTAAAACACGTGCAAATCTGTGTTGGGTTCAAAGGCAAAGTGTCACATGAATTATTCTGTGCCCAGAGTCACTTCTGTGCTTCCAGAAAGGCACAGGGCAGCGATGTGGCAGCTCGGCACGAAGCCCTGGGCCGCTGACCCCAACCTCCCGCCGCCTGCACGCCGGGCGCCCCGGCCGGCCCCAGCCAGCCACAGGCTCCGCGGCCTTCGGCCTCGCTCCTCCTCCCGGGAGGGGTGCGAGTGCCCCATGCAGGCTCTGCCCAGCGCGGGCGCCCCCGAGGGCTGGCGCTCCACGCGTGTGAAGCCGGGCCCGGCTGCTGCCTTGGCGCCTCCAGGGGCGCAGGCCGGCACCCGGAGCAGCAGGGAGGCTCCAGCGGGCCCAGGGCCGGCCGCGCTGCTCCCGGCTCCGCGCGGAGGCGCAGCGGGGCCGGCGGCTCTGCCACCCTCGCGGGTCAATTCGGAACCGGCTACGGGGGCAGCTGGGTTAGCGGCGGGAGGAGAGGAAGGCGAGGGAGCAGGAGCTGCAGCCGTGAGGTCCTGCCAGCCCTCCTGGCCATGGATGCCTGGAAGATCCCGGCTGCTCTTTAAGTAAGTGGCCAGTTTCTCTATGGACTCCAGGAAAAAACAGGGATCATGGAGAAATGCAAAGGGAAAGGGCACGGCAGCTCCCTCGTACTGAAGAAGGTGGCTCGTAAATACAGAACCACGTGAAAGAAAGCACAGCTACATCCAGAGGAATAATGAACCCTCGGTAGTGCTGGCAGAGCAAAGGGCTCCTTATGCTGGAAAAGCAGGTGAACAAGGAGCATGAAGGTTGTGAAGAGCCTGGACAAGTGAGGATAGAGCCTGGGTTTGACGCACTGAAAAACTGAAATTTGGAACAGCAGGCCACCCAGCTCAGAGACGCGCAGCTCTTGTTCTGTGGGCCGCAAAGGGCTGGGGCTGCCCCGGAAGGATACAGGTAGGTGCTCATGCAGCAAGATGACACGTAGTGTGGCCACGAGAGCACCGGGGAGGTGGGTGCTGGAGGTGCTGGGAAGAGGTGGCAGCACCTGGCTGCAGGTGGATGGGGAAAAGCCCCAGCTGCCCAGGCCGGATCCTGGCGACATTAGTGATGACGCCCAAAGGGAAAGGAACGCGAGGGCGCTTAGGGAGGAGGAAGTTTCTGCTTTGCTCTTGTTAAGGGAGAGCTCCTGGCAAGGCGTGTGGGAAGCGGCACGTGTGGAGCAGGCTGTGTGAGCCGCCCCGGAGGCCGGCGGCGCTTCCCCGTGGCAGGAGGGCAGCAGCAGCAGCCGGAGCAGCAGCTGGAGCTGGAGCTCTCATCCTGCGCTGCCGACTGGGACACGGAGCCTGGCAGCGGGTTTTCCGCACGGATTCATGACATGGGCAAAGCGCGCGCCTAACTAGGTCAGGATCAATGCCCAGGGACCTACTTAGAGAAGAGCTGTGCTCGCAAAGGTCAGTGCCTTAAGCCCCAACAGGCAGGCAGCCAGGCCCCACTGCATGCGCAGCACAGTCCAATGGGCTATGCCCTGCCACATTATTTTGCTCTTTCAAGTGAAGCTGCAGCTACCCAAGACTACAAAGCAGTTCTTGAGTCCTTGGAAAAGTAATAGAGGAAATGAGGAAGAGCTGCCTCCCAGCTCCGTGCAGCCCGAGCATGTTATCAACGTGGCAAGTGCCACTAGAGGCCTGAAGGAAACAGTTGGTCAAAATACATGAGCACACTGGCCAAGAGAGGGCCAAGGCCCAAAAAAAAGTGCAAGTAATCCATGAGGAAGCAGGTACTGAACAGAAAGCTAAGACAGAGACAGAAACTGTGTTGCTGCACAGCCAAATGTCTAAACATTTGTGGACCCACGGGCTACCCCACCTGGCTATGTAGCTTCTGCCACAAGACACCTTCCAAAAGCTGGGTTTGCAGTGACTTGGGGGTACCTAATCTCTGCCTTAGCTCAACATCCTTCAAAGCGAGAGCCACACTCATCTACATAACCCCTTCCTGCCAGTTTCAGGGGGTTTCAGCAGTTTTTCTACTGTTTTAGAGATGCATGAGAAAGTGTCTAAAGAAATAATTACAAGACAAGCATGTCAGCGAGGAAAGAAATTGCTCTGTTCATATTGAGTTTTGGGGTAATGGTAGATTAAAGCAAGCTTGTAATAACTCGTGCTGTCATTGTGTCTGGTTGGCATCTGACATGATTTATGCATCAAATTTGCTTCCTGCGAGCAAAATGCTCAACTGTGGCTATGCCACAGTGAGAGGTTATAAACGCCTGTCAGTGCACCTCAGTTTTGGTTTGCCACCCTTGTGTCCTTCCTGCCAAACCTGACATCACTCACAGGCCGAGTGAGGCCCCAAAGGGACCGACAGGGGCCACAGGTGGCTCCCTGCGAGCGGCACGAGCTCCCGCTCCCGCCGGCCGCGCTGCGGGCACCGTTTGCACGGCGCCCCTGCAACAGGGCAGGGAGAAGGGCAGGGCTGGATGCGCTCTCAGCCCTCGCCAGCCTGGTAAATTCTGAGAAAATGGGACCTTTTCACACGCATCTGTGTATTTATTTAACATTCAGCCCACTTCGTTTGATGGTAGTACTTGGACCAACTTTGATTTTTATATTATTGCTACCCAGGACATTTTTACTGTCCAATTTCTCCGATTTTGCAGTGGCAGCATAAGACAAAACTCACTGATGAGCACACTAAATCATTTTCTGCTCTGTGATTTTCCTCTTATCCCCTGAATTGCTAATTTATTTTTTTTTTTTTACAGACTTGCTGTTTGATGGACTCTTATCTTCTGGAAAATGAGAACTTGACTTTGACATACCCTGGAATACGTGATTAACGGTTATTTTATAAAGAACAAAAACAAAGGTTTCTGCAATAGGTCTGCACTGAAAGGAGGCTATTGCGAGTACCCTATGGACTTGCAAAACCTTGGTTATTGAAGCTGGCTTAAGGGCCTTGTCTTAGAAACCAATTAATTTGCGCTGTCTTTGACAGCTAATGAAAATGTCACACTTTCTGAACAGATACCACATCTAGGAGGGAAATCTCACCCAGCACCCCATAACGCGCACACTCAAATTCAGGCCTGCTGAAATCCCATGGGTTTCTTCCCGGCCTTTTTGTGCTTGTTCTGTAGAGCTGGAGGCTGCTTTGAACTGGTCACTCACGTCAACAGCTGCCCGCCCCGTTACCCTTGCAGGCACCCCGTGAACTGGAATGACTTTCTCCACATCCATGTGGGAAGCCAGCACAGCTGTGAGGAACCTACTTCCCCTCTTTCATTCAACCCTCTGCTATGTTTTCCTCTTCCCAATGATTTTTTTTCCCCAAAACAATGATGATGAGATTGCACAGTGCTAACTCTCTTGGCCAAGCAGAGGGAGAGCTCTCTGAAGCAGGAGTACATGGAATGGGCAAGGCTTACCTGGGCAGTGAAGAAAGCTGGAGTCAGGGATCCCGAAGGAAGCGCGGGGCTGTTGAGGGCAATGGAACCAATATCGGTGCCGGAAAGAACCATAGGTGGGGCGGAGATTTCCAGGCCTTTGGGTTTTTTAGCCTTTGGGGGAAGAGATGGAGATTTTGCCTTGGAACCTGAGGAGAGGTTCAGAGGTTCGAGCGAATCCGAGTCGTGGCAAGTGGACTCGAAGAAGAGGCTCCTGTGCTCCGCAGGGAGCGGCGAGCTGGGAGACAGAGACGGGGACCGGGAGGATGACGACGAAGGAGAGGAAATGCTGGCACTGTTGGGTAACATTAAGGAAGACAGTTTAGCTGATACTGAAGAGCTGAGAAAAGCAGAGGCAGCCGCTGTTTCGGAAGTGGAAGGCAACGACACCATGGGCCTCATAACCTGTTTGTCTGTTTTGTTCGTCACGAATCTTATAACAGTCCGAACCTCTTCGACGGGGGTGTTTCCTTCCGACTTCTCCTCCAGCTTTTCCGTTTTGATTGGCTTGTAGGGGTCTGGCTGGTTCTGCAGCGAGTTGATGGTGAAGGAGGAGTAGAGGCCCGAGTGGATGTACTCGTTTCGGCTGGTGCTCTTGAGCGCCGACAAGCTGTGCTTGTGCTGCTCCCGGCCCTCCGAAGGCATCTTGCAGTCGCTGTCCTGCAGCAACAGGCTCTCTCGGCTCATCTCCACGGCGTGTGGATCCATTTTTAAGATCTCAGGAAAGGAGACAAACTTGTACACAAATTTCTGCCCGATCACTTTCTTGATGATGTTCTGCAAACACAAAAGCAGATGAGCCGGAAGGGTCAGTATTTGGGGGGCACTGAGATTGCAGCCCGGAGCGGTTTCAGAGGGGGAGGCGGCCACTGCTCCCTCCTCATGTCACCAAGAGCCCATGGTGACACTTCAGAGAGGCTTCAAGGGCATCTGAGCCTGGGCTCTGCTCAAGCACAGCATCGTGTTTTCCAACAAAATCACCATTTCCACGCTAAACTGGCAGGCTCCTTTCCTCCCGCCTCCTCTGAGGCACCTTGGGATATTTCCTTTTTACTAAGAACGATTTTGCTGCCTTGCAGACTCAGGCCAGGCTGCCAAGCATGTTTCCCAAGGACGGCAAATGCCACCTTTCGTGCCTCTCAAAACTGAGACCGATTACCCCACAATATGAAACACTTCTCTTGGAAAGTCTGCTAAGGACAAAGCGAGCCCCATGCCTGCTCCAGCTGTTCACCCTCTCCTCCTCCCCTGATTCTAGTCCTACCTATTGCAAAATGGGCACGTGAGCTGCTCTGACACCACAGGCTGTATCTGGAAGGGCTCGCAGTGCCTCACTCTGCTCCTTATGAACTAGGTGCTGGCCAGGGGGCCTGGCCTGTGGAAGAACTACAGCATTTGCCACCCTAAGCCAAGTGCTGGCGAGCAGTGTTTCCTGAGATTTTAATAGCGATTTATCTCTTCTTGGAGTCCTTGGTGTATGCCTGTAACTCTCTCAAATAAAAAAAAAAAAATAAAAAATTTTCACAGGAGTTACCCTTTTGGTGGGACAGGTTCTCCTGCCAGGACTCATCTACAGCATCCCCTGCTAATACTCTGCAAACAGACATTTGCCATCCAGTACGTAAAGGAATATGAATATTCATAATATTGCCAAAAATCTAATATCTTTTTCGCTCAAAAATGGGATCTCATGCAGGAACTGTCTAGCAGAATCAGAAACTAGTAGAAGAAATGTTTGTTAGGTTAACTTAAAAATAAAAAAAAATAAAAAAAAAGGAACACAAATATGATCTCTATTTTACGTGTACATCATATAGCTCTGAGTGCTTGTGGAGCCTGCACTACACACCATGCTTGGCACAAAATCAGGGCTGGTCTGAAGAAAGCGGTGACTGCACTTCTATATTAATCAGGTGAAACACTGGATAAACACGCTGTTTCTGCATTCTGTGTTTCATTCACAAATTTGATACTACATTTTTCTTTAAAAATGCAAAAGAAAAAGCACAATCTACCTATGAAAAATAAGTATCCAGAATGGGGTTTGTTTTCCTTTTTAATATATTCCTTTTAATTAAAAATAATCCCTCATCTCTGCTCCTGGCAGCTGGAGCTATTGCTGCATCCAACACTGGGAACAGAGATAGTACTTGGAAAATGTGACTCTCAGCAGGGAAAGATTAAGCGTATTAGATTAAGGGCAGCATTTTTACACTGGTGCAGGCTTGAAACAGGGGCCCTTTGCTATAGAAAGCAGCCAAATAGGCTGGCAAGTTTATATTTCTTCTGTTATTATTAAATATAGTTATATTTTAGGAAGGTCTTTCTCTCTTATTGTCGCTCCTCCGTCTCCCTAAGCCCGCAGCCAAGGCCCGCGTAATGATGGCTGAAGATTAAAAGGATTCAAGAGCAGCTCCCTCGAGCACTTTGGAGCCTTCTATTAAATGTGGCGCCTGAGGAAACCTCCATCAGCACGTAAGGGAAAAAAAGGATGCTAATAAATCGTCTTTGAAATGCCGCTGTCATTTGTGAATTTTTCTGACAAACAATTGAAGTGAAGGAAAAAAGCAGCTTTATAAAGCAGCTTTTATATATTTTTATATATATGTATATATATCTCTCCTCACCTCCATGGTCTGTCAGAACTGCGGAAGACGCCTCAGCCCACAGAGAACAGTGACAAACCAGACTGTTTCCACCCTGGATATGGGAGGCCAGGGAAGGCTTCCTCACGCTGAGGATGCTTCTGCAGGGAGGTGAAGCCGCTGGCTGGGCAGCAGGCCAGCATGGTGGCAGATTCAGCCCCTCTTTTTGGTCTCTTTGAATCCCCTCGTGCTGCAAGTGCCCTGGCCTGGCTGCAAGGAGCTGCTGGAGAGGAGACTGCCCGGCCCTCGCCACTGCCGGACACCCTGGAGGGGCTCTGAAACGGAGCACCTGAAATGCCGTGGTGTGGGACAAGCGCGCGGGGCCTGCGGACCACCCTGCACCCTCACAGCGGGGCCAGCGGCTCCCGGGCAGCCTCCACTCCGCAGGCCTCCAGCAGCGGGTCCGAGCAGGGCCCTCCGGAGCAGGGCCGTGGACCCTCTCTCCTTGTCCCGGCTCAATGACAGGCCAAGGACGCAGCAGCCTGGGTTCCCCTGCACCTTAAAAACAGGCTGTAATGTTTATTAGCGCACTACTACTAGATGTCCTGCAGAAATAATGGGAACTGTTCATCCATTTTCTATCAGTACAGCTCAGGCTTGGGTTCCTCTTTCTCTTTTTTTTCCTTTTTTTTTTTTTCCTTTTTTTTTTCTCCTGTGGTTCAAACATTTCCTGGTTCTTAATCTAATCAACACTGATTGCTATTTGCTGCTTGAGCTGTCTGGAGATGTGGCTTGGCCATAGCGACAAGGTGACACAAGGGTTTTAGTGGCTCGGCCCTGTGAGCTACCAACTCTTGTGCCTGCAGGAGCCACATGAGGAGGGAGCCGGGACCAGGGACCCAGTTTCTGGTTCTTCACAAACATGGGACCTCAAATTCCAGAGACAGGAACACAGATAGGGCTGTTTTCCTCGTCTTACAAAATTACCTGTAATCAACAAACACAGTGCCAGTGGTGCCCAAATTTATAGCAGAACAGGGCAAACTGGTTACTAGGCCCCTGCTTGGGATGGAAGGAGAAGGGCCAGAGCAGCAGTTGCTGCTTTTAACTCTCGTTCAGGTGTCTTGCAAGTTCCCTGGTTCTGCAAGTCCCAGAGATCAGACTACAGACTCCTCCTGGGGCTTCATGATGAGCAGGGCTGCGCGCAGGCTGGGAAGCCTGCGAGGGAGCGGGTTGTCCTGCTCCACTCCTTGCACCTAATGCACACATGCAGGAGGGGACAGGTCCAAGGCACGTGGTCTGCCCACGTGAGAATTTACCAGAACTGGTGGGCGGAATAACTACCTTCTCTTTCTGAAAGGTAAAATTACAGTCATCTGTACAAAACCAAGGCAGCAAGCTAAGAAATCTTCACAGTCAGAAGTCTGGAGCATGTAAGCTGGCAGGAGATAGCTGTGGCTGCAAAGTCTGCTCCTAAAAATGGGATGTGTGTCCCGCTAGCAGAGTCTGCTAGCATGATACTCTTTGGCCCTATGCCATACATACACCATACTGCATGTGTGTACAAGCTAAATTCAGATAAATTTTCATAGAGGCACAACTGTTACTACTCTGTGCACTTGTAGGGACCTTTGGAAATAGAAGACTTATTTATTTATCCAGATTTCAGTCCTTCCTCCTCCATGTCCACCTGGATGCACAGACGGTTCTTCTAGCTCACAGCTTGGACCAGGGTCACCACTGTCCCACTGGGGCTCAGGAGGTCGCCCTTCCCTCTGTCATCAAATATGAACTATCTTGTCTCCCTTTTCAGGACTTTCTGGGTCCTTCTTCTCTACTCATCATCTCTTACTCACTGTAAAACTCTTTTCTTTCTTTTTCTCAAAATGTCAGCATCCATTAACTACTTTTATGCTGTTTCAGACATTCACCTTTTCAACTTCCACCCACTGGCCTTAAAAGAAGCTCCTTCCATATCTCCATATGTTAATGTTCCTTCAAGTCCGTTTGTTAATGTTCCTTCAAGTCCTTCCTTGCAACACCTCTTACCTGTAGCACCACAAAACAGAGAGCTAGTACCAGCACATCAGTACTGCTTCACTGTAATCTTGGATTTTCCCCTGGGTTAACGCAAGGGTAGATCTTCCCAAAAGTAAAGCAGTGATTTCCACTTCACAGTTTTCTTGCACAATTTTAGAGTTGTGCAAGCAGATCAAGCCCTGTTACGCAGACAATTCTTCCACACTGCCATCCACATTTGGGCTTTAAAAATATGAACTAGTAATCAGGCTATTTGGTCTGAGCATGTGTGGAGAGAAGGAGGTGTGTGGAGAGAAGGAGGTGTGAGTAGCACCTCTGAATATTACGAGCAAGCACCTTAAAAGGTCTTGCTCTAATGCTGCTCCAACCATGGACGAGAAGCTCATTTTATTTATATACTATATGTCATTCTGCTAGCCCATCTAAACAAGAAGGGAGTCATTACCTGAAACTAAAATGATTTATTCTTGTCTTTGGAAGAGAGGCTGCACAGCCCTCACTAATGCCTGAGGCCACATACTAATCGAAGAAGATACCAGAATACTGAATAACTAACTACTCATGACAACACTGTGAGTGTGTAATTAAAAATGCAGTGTACACAGGTAACTGTGAGGCCTACATTTCCTAAATACTGGGGGCCTGACTTTCACAACCATAGCATCCAATTACTGTAGGTATTTGCATGTAATTTCCTGGATTTCACCCTGTTATTACCCTTCTCCCACTCAAAAAACCCTCACTGGGAAACCTCACAAGCATCTTCCTTGTGTTGCCACCCTGATATACACATGGGGGTGCCTCAGGCAGTCACGAAACCTGCAGGGACTTCCCAAAGGCTTTAGCTATCAGAAAAAACAAACCAGTGGGGCAACTTTACCACTAAAAAGCTACTGGTTTAGCCTAAAGGTTCTGACTAGCCAACCTGTGTAATGGAAGAGCCCTAGTGCAGGAAGCCTTCTCTCTGGCTCAACTCTGCTCTGACCAGCTGCCCCATTAAGGCAACTGAGGAAACACTAAGTAAAGAGGGGTGAGGAGAAGTGGGGTATCCTATTTGCACAAATGAAGCAGGAAAGGCAAAGTCTTTAGGTTATCTACAAACCTTTAGCAACCAGCATCAGGGTAGCAAATTACAACTGAGCCGTGACACGCTATACATTTCCTGGGGTGGTTTATATCTGAATTTTAGATAATTCCAGACATCAGCCTCAACAGCACATCATACTTGCTTTGAAAGCCAGGCTGAGGAACTTGCCCTAATTGTGTTATTTTGCTCCAATCCTGGAATTAATTTACTTTTAACTTCAGATGAATCATATGATGAATTTTAACAAGCCAGTGTTCCCCCTCAAGCAAAACAGCAGAGCCCATAAACCTCCATTTATGCAGTGGCCGGGTTTTATTTCTCTGCAGTGAGTAATTGCAAAGACAAACCATGAAGCACCAGCGCAGCCGGCGGCACCGCACGCAGAGGGCAGCCCAGAAGGTAGCGCCCTTCCCTTGTGCCATGGCTGCAAGGCCACTGCCCCCACCTCAACCCACATCCCAGCCAGATTCCCTGGCCGTGGGCAGGGAAGTCCCTCTGGACACAAGCCCAGCCCCCGGAGGAGGCCCACGCAGCGGCCCTGTGTCTCACCTCTTGGCCTGTTGGCCACCCTGCTCGTCCCCAGCGCACCCACCTGCCCACACGAGTGTCACTCACAGGGTGAGGAAGTGGCCAGGATCTGCAGGTTACCCTCAGGATACCTTAGGGCTTAGCCTGCTCGCAGTTTAACTGCAGATCAGACACAGGGATGTGGGAAAGGGGAACACAAGAGCCTAGGGGGGCTGTTCGCCTGCATAAACCCTTGCAATTTCGCTGTGCAGAAAGGAAAGGAGAAAGCCAAGGAGGTCTCTTCCTTCCTCAACATCTTCCCCTTCTCTGCGTCAGCCCTGGCCGAAGCGAAGGCAGGGGGAGATTCAGGATTGGAATTTCATGATGGAACCTGTGGCCGAGCACCCGACGCCGGCCCCTCGGATCCACTGTGCGCTGCCCTGTGCCCGAGGCCCACGCAGGTTGCTACCCCTCTGCCCCCCTCTAACCACCCGCCCTCCTCTGCGGCCTGGGACGCGGCGGGGCACGGCAGGCCCTTCCCCACGGGCAGTGAGGGGCCTCTGCTGCTTTTCCTTTGCTAAAGGAGCTGCTCCTGCAATGTGAAAAGCAATAGCCGTGTTTTGGGCTGAGGCTCAAACCCAGATCACCATAAATTGCTAAGGAAGAGCTTATCCTGATTTCCACCTGGGAAAAATCACCTGCTGCAAAACTTGTGGAAAAATGGCCCAAATCCTTGTGCCATATCTAGATGAAATTTGAAGACAGGAAAAGCAGAATATATGTCTGTAAGGACAGGAAAAGCAGAATACATGTCTGTAAGCACAGTCAGCACAGCAAGAAACCTGGCAAAAAGACTGTATGGCTGCTCCTGTGGCAAGTGCTGAGAAAGCAGGGAGAAAAGAGATGGCAGAGCAAAGGCAAAGCAACTGAAAATGCTGCTGTAAAAAGAAAAGAAAAGAAAAAATGGTAAGGGGGTAGGATTTTCAAGGAGAAAGGGATCCTCAGGTAAGAAGTCACTGTTGATTTAAAGAAAGGAGATTTTAGGGACAATTCTCGAAGGCAAATGCTGTAGCACCTCATCTCCTGTGTTCAGGCAGTATCTGTTGAGACACCGAGCGCCGACTTGGGCCTGCCTGGATGTGCACTTTGCTCCCCGGCAGCCTCTCTGTCTGCACTGATCCCACTCAGGTCTCTAATCGGAAGGGCTGGAGGGATATAATGAAGCAAACTGCCCCATGCTGAGCAGAAGCCTTTTTAGCTCTCAATGCAGGCGAATTCACTGTGTCAGCTGCTCGAAACACCCGCCGCACTGTCCTGGCTGGATCCTTTTGTGCCTGCCCAGGCAGCCACCTTTGGAAGGTCTCAAGCACAAAAATCTCATTTCTACTGGCCAAAAATACTCCAAAGGTTTTGTTTCAAAACTTATGGCTCCAAACCTGAAACTAGAAATACTTTTCCAACATATCAGAAATGGCTCTTTGAGAGCCCTTTCTAGTGTGAACTTGTGTCTTGCAATGCTCACATCACAGTTCCCGTGTGAACAACAAAAAGCAAGACTGTCAAATTGTGCACAACAGTTAATAATTGTGCTCAATTAATTCCCAACAAATATATTTTTAGTCACTGTGCTACCCTGGCTGCACAGCACTACTGGGCCCTTTAGGAATTAGTACACTACAAATAACATACAATAAGCAACTATATTTGAACGCTGTTCAACAACGAATACATTTAGTTTCCTCTGCCCTGTGAAGGCAGTTAGCCAGCCACAACCGTGCTGAACATTGGTGTTAGTCACTGACTAGACTGGTCTCTCTTTCTTTCCTGAAAATCAACATCACAACAGACCAAAAGTGGCTATGTATTTTTCCTTTTTTTAATATACTGACCTGTAAGACCCAACCCTTTTAATGTATTCTTCAAGAACACAAATACTAGTAAAAATAATTAATTCAAGAGTATCATTAAAAATTATCCGCTTAAGAGGAAATAATCCTGAAATGACTTAATCAATAAAAAACAACATAATGTTAATCCAGAAAAAGGTTTGGAAAAAGAATTGGAACTTTCTTGAATCTGGTAGAGTTTGAAATTGAGAAAGGAGAACATACAAGAAACTTTAGTTGCTGCAGAGCTCTGTGAATTTTTTTCCTTCTAGTGCCTCGCCACATCTGAGAGATTCCCAGTCTAGTCTGGCCAATTTAGCACAAACTGTGTTTGCTTCCTGTTCTCATCTTTGTGTCCTCTGTAATACTGCTGCCACCCACTTAAAACTGAGTCCAAAGATTGCTAAGTGAGGGATGATTTAGTTATGACAGGGATCTTACAAACTGCCGGTAAATTCAAGAAATCTGATTTTCAGGGGTACTGGTCCCCAATACCCGCTGCTGACTTCAAGATTATAGGCCTGCTCATAACCTCTGAAAATCAGAACCAAACTGAAAGATCTAAATAGCTCTGCATTATGTCCAAGATATTATTATGTCAGATTTTAGTTTTAAATAAAGTTTGAAAACGGCTCTGAACGGAATGCACGCATGTCTACAATATCTCTCTGTTACTGGTTTATGAGAGCATACAGCGTAGCACAAACACAGGCAAATTGTCATTTAAAAGGCTGGAGCCCAAACTGTGCTGACGGCGTGTGTCTAATTAGTTCTATGAAACCTCTACAGATGTAACCGTGACCTCTTCTGTCAACACGAAGAAGGAGCAAAATTAAACAGGTTTTGCAAGGGCAAATATATTTAAGGTAGAAACCTCGACCAAAATATGCACTCCACCATTTTTACGTGAGATAGCCAGAAGGTCACCAGTGTGTGTAAATTTAAGATTCTACCATAAAAATAGTCCTCACCTGAGGTGAGCTCAACGTGAGACTATTACCTGGACAAATACACTCAAATACATCCCTGTTCTGGCACGCACCTCGTGGCAAGCTGCTTTTCCTGTTATTTGCCATATTTAGCCGGCACTTCCAGTAAGATTCTGAATTGGTGCTCACTTGTGTGTTTTGCTGCTAATTAAATCATGGCAACATATAATCTAGACTACTGTTGAAGCTGACATAGATTTTGTCCTAAAAATGACTTAGTGGAAAATTTACAAACTCTTAAGAAACACTGCATGTTAACAAATGAAGTGAGAGTCGTGTGAAGGAAAACTGCACTGCCATGATAATTCTGGAAATGTTTGGACACTGCGCTTTTCCAACTACAATAATTAGGATTCGATACAATTGTAAAACAAGAAGTTTTACAGGAAAGATCAGGCAAGGCTAGCTAAAAATGGACTGTGTTCCACAAAAGCTCTGCAGTTCAACCCTGCTACCCATTCTGTTGGGGTTTCTGTGTGTCTTCTCCTCGTCCTAAGAGCCGACACCTGCTGGCAAAGCTGCTGCTCTATCTGCTGCATCCCAGTTCCACTGCTTTCTACCGCCTTGCGGGAGATCTAACGCAGGCTGCAATAATCAAACAGTCCTTCATTAGCAACACGTATTTTATTGTTGTCAAAAGCTACAGAAATATCGGGTAGCAGAAACACATGTAAGCAGCAGTAAGTGTAAACCTAGGTCAAAGCTTCCCCTTCTCAGGAAATAGATGTGCCTTGTTTTCCTGTGCGTGTGTGAGCTGCCCTCTTACCTCTGCCGGGATTGCCTTCCGCGGGGTGATCCACTCTAACAGCTAATTAGGGGAACTTTTAACAAGCTTCCACACAGAGAAGAAATATCAAATGGCAGTGTTTCTATTTTCTTAGTCTGCACAAGAATAACAAAATTTACCTTGTCATAATAGTATCTGAGCGCTCTGCTCAGCTTGTCATAATTCATATTAGTTTTGTTTTTTCTGAGTCCCCACAGCTTAGCCACTTCTTCTGCCTTGAGCAGCTTGAACTCGCCATCGTTAGACGTCCAGCAAATGAGGTGCTCGTGTTTCTGGTCTAGCAGCAGCTGCAAAAGGAACTGCCACAGCGTGATTGCACTCTCCATACCTAGAGGGGACAAAGGAAGGCAACAGTGTGAAAACCATCGGGGAGCTCGTGTTAGAGCCAGCGCTCGCCGCACCAACAGGCTCCTCCGACGAGTGCAGTTTGGCAAAGGAAGTTACTGTGTCATTGGCAACCAACCCCCAGAAGATCAGCAAGTCCTGGATCCCCATATGCCAGCATTTTTTTCCACTGTTTTAGTGTGAAGGGAGAATTAAGTGCAGTAAGAATTGCCCACTTTTAGTTCACGTGGTGCAGGGTCCTCTCCAGCTGAGGCCTCCAGTTCTGGGCGGGGAGCCACTCTTCAAAAGAAGGTATAGCAGGATAAAACAAAAAAGACTTGACATAATTACCCACTGAAATCAGCTGAAAAAAATGCTGTTGACTCATGATGAGTGGACTGGACTTGTCAGTTTATGTCACTGGGAGAAAGGGAAGGAAAGAGGAAGAGGGAAGCTCTGCTTTTGGTTGGGACAACCAGAAACCAGCTTCTTTCTCGCTCTCGGTCTTTCTGCTTGCTAATTCAACCAGCTCAGAAGATTTGGCAGAAATGATGAATCATCATTTGACTTAACCTCAGCAAAGTAAGCACTGTTTAGCCTGAATCTTTCTGTAACAAGAGTCTCTTCTTTCATTATCACACATGAAAGTTAGGAATACATTTTAACGGTGCCTGAGTATCACTGCTAAGGATGTTTGGATAGTTTTTTCCTGCTATCTGTCCATACTATAACACAAGAACAAACTTAAGAATGACTATACACCAGCAGGCACAAAGGCAACTTAAAACTTGGAACTGTTGGCACCAAAGACAATTCATTATTGTAAAAAGATGTAGCTTCAACTGACCTTTTAAACAAACTGAGATTTTTCCCCATAACTTTGACTGCATTTTAACACTGTAGCAAATCATTTTTTCTTGTCTGTTCTCATATTTAATTCTGATGTGTTTTGTCTAACTAATGCAGATTTTACAATGTCAGTATTATTACAGCAATTTACTGGGTTAGGTATTACTTGAGAGTTCATGTAGCAATGGCTACTTTTGGCTTTACCCAAACAAAGTGATAATTATTAATTTTCCTACTCATTTTGTTTCCTAAAATATTACTCTCTATACCCCGCTACACTACGGAGCCAGTTGGAGGAAGTTTACAGCCCTGCATTTCCTTCGGCGTGTTGACCACAAGAGGGCATAAAGCTTCTAGCTATTCTATCACACGCAACAAGCAGCTCGCAGAAATTAGAACTGCCCGTTCACGTCTGCTAGAGCACTAAAGAAATCACATTTTTCTCTAACTCACTCCATGCTCATCTTGGAAACACAGTGGTTAACGATGCAAATACATTGCATAAGCTTCACTAAAGCTATTGTAAAAACAAGTTAAAGATCCTAGCGGATGTTGCAAATATTTTTACAGAAAAACAGTTTTACAGAAAAGACAAACAGAAGTTGGAGATTGACTTTGGTCTAAATAATTTCTAAGTAAACTGCCCAAAAAGGAGTTTGCAAAAACTGGTCATGCTTTTATTATCCCTGCAAAAGCCACATTTCCCTAAATCACCGGGAACGCGGCCCGAAGGAGCAGGGCAGGAATACATGTCTAATAACAGCCAGCAGTGCGACAGAACGGCCGCACGGTACCCCCAAGGGATGGCAGAGGCTCACAGGGCTGCTCCGTGCACGTGAAGGAACATGTATTTAAGAGCAAGTAAATACATATTTACAATTCCCTATGAGGAGGTTGTGGCACTTTGAAAGGTTTTGCAATTCCTTTATTGCGTTTTTTCAGCACTTTATATAAATCCTTTCCCACCTAGAGTAGGAAATTGAAGAGCCACAATTAAATATACCTAAAAGCGACCCGCTTGCTTCACAGTATTAAAAGTTTGCTTTAAATTGGACGATCTCTGTGAGTGTTATCACCCCAATGAAGTATTTATCTATAACATCAGAGCTAAAAAAGTGTTTTTATGCATCTGGCATCACATCTATGTTTGCATTAACTTCTCCATCATTCAGGTTATTTTACAATGCGTGTGTAGGGATGTGCAGGCACACTGCTTAAAAATAATCTTCGTTTCTCCATACTGTATGTTATATAGGGATAGCCTGAATAACTTCAGCCTGTATCACATGGCTCTTTTAAATAAGGAATCACAAATGCAGCACGTTTCGCTCTGGAAGATTAAAAATAAACTTATCAGTATCTCATTTGAAAACTGTATTACAATGCACATGGGGGCACAGGCTAGAAACACGGTCTATGGAATTTCAGCTGAAGGATGAAAGACGGAAGCGGGCTACGGAAGGGGAGGCCAGCTCTCCCCGCAGCGCTGGCGTGCGCTAGCTGCAAGCTGAGGCCTCGGAGAGGCGGCTGCCTCGCTCCAGGCCTCGGCTCCGGCCCCTCTGCCCGGCGGAGCCCTGTCCGCGCGCGGAGGGCACGGGAAGGGCGCGTGGGACGAGCGCATCGCGCCGTGCCGCGGGATCCCCAGCCCGGCCAGCAGCGCTCCCGGTGCGAAGCCGTTTGCCGGCGACCGTCGTTTGACCGGCTGCAGACAGCTCGGGATGGCTTTGCATTGAGCGACCGTTGGCCTCGCAGGGAGCGGGCCACGATTCCACGTGTGGAATGCAAAATGCGTGAGGTGTGCGGGACGGCGGGAGCAGAGCAGGTCGCTCCGCTGCGGCCTGGCCTCGCCCCCGGGGCTGCCTTCCACGTGGCCACTGTGGAGGGGTTATTATACAGAGGCCGTGTAGGAGGTTACGGTGCTTCAAGCCGACCGGCTCTTTCCACCAGCTCGGATCTGCACGCAGTCTGTGGGCTCTTGCACGCCAAGGAGGAGGTCGTGGTGGGATTAGTCCCGGCAGCTCCTCAGCACCTGCCCGGGGCCAAGGCTCGGCTCCCCTCTGCAGGACACGGGTCCTGCTGGGTCGCACCAACCACCTCTGCACGGCAAGGCTGGGCATCAACGCGCCTCACTGCGCTGGACACCGCGCGCACCGCAACGGGACTGAAGCGGCTCGAGGCTGCACTAGATCCAGCACCCCATCTGCCACTGCCATGACCGAGATGGGCTGGAGGTGACAGCGGCAGAGTCAACATTGCACGTTCTTCCTAAAGAGAAGGCAGAAAAGATCAGGCACGTCCAAAGGCAAAACTGCCCCGTCTAAGACCTGCCTTTCCCTGCAAAGGGGACCCATGTTCCTCCCCGAGGAGAGGTGACTATGGGCCCAAATGCCAAAGGCTGGCTCAGCCTCATAGGGTGAGGGTGCCCTTCAGCAGAAGGTGCAAGTCTTATGGAAACGTCAGGCAAGCTGCACTAGAAATGGTTAGGACATACGCAAGCTGATGGGCTGTGTTGACATTTTTTGATCAAGACAATATAAATGACTTCCCATGCAACAAAGTGTCAGCCAAGTGGCATTAAGGCTACAAAAATAAGTCATTAACCTGTTGGGCAAAATAAAGCAAATTAAGCAACTCATCTAAAAAATCAGGCAGGAGAAAAGCAGGAGGCACAGGGGCAAAACTAACTGAAACACTCATTAGCAGAACAGTTTATGACATGAACTGCAGAATAGACAAACAGAGCCACTTTGAGGCAGGGAGCTGGGTCCAACACCTCACTACCAAAAAAGAATCAGGTGTCAGAGAGAGCAGGAGAGCAGCCCTGCAGGGCCCGGGAGCCCAGCGCAGGGCTGCAGCTTTCGCTGACCTTGCGGCATCTACCTGCAAACCCTCCCGTCTCCCCCACACACCACATTTCCTAGCGGGATTCTTCCTTTATAGCTCTTCCTCAGCCCTTATAAAATAAACGTAATTATTGCTGATCCTGGATAAGTTTTGAGGGTGAAAAATGGGGATCTCTCCAATCATTAAAAAGAAAACCAGCCTCTTTTCATTTTAGAAAGATGCCAGGAAAGCATTTTAGGACTCAGCTGTGACTCAGCCATAGCACTAAGGAAAAGATGAGAGACAGAGGTGCAAGAGCCACAACCAGCGAAGCCTAAGGGCTGAAGAAACCAGCTGGAGATCAACTAAAAGAGCAAGACACGGAAGGTGTTAGCCAGCGTTAGGGAACACGGGTAATCCCAGACTGATCAGACCTGCTGGTGAACAGGATTAAGCCACCGAGTCAGAGCAGGGAAATTACCTCCACTGAGCACATGAACAAACAACCGATTCCTCCCATGGCCAAAGCAGCTGCAAAAGACGCAGCTCCCTTCCTGCTGCCCCGCCGCGGGCAGCGGCATTCCCCTCCAGTTCCACTTCTCCCCCAGGGAAGCGCGAGCGCCTGCAAGCAGGCCGCGTCTCTCCGCCAGAGAGGCCTTTTATTTCCCCCTCGCTTTCCAGCCGCTCTGGAAAACCCGTGTGTATTTTCTGTGCATGCACTTGCTGCCACGGGGCTGTACGTGCCCCGGAGCGGGCGACGTCGGGCGGCCTCGGGGCTCCTTCACGAGCGCTCGCAGCTTCCTTCGTTTCTGCAGGTTGCAGCCAGGAAACTGGAAAATGGGCCACAGGAAACCTGGCCTCCTACATCTGTCCCAGTTTGTAACAGCAGCTCTGGTTTTATTTTTCTAAGTGTCTCAGGTTCGTTTTAACCCTTGCGGTGACTCTGGCATTAACGTGTGAAAGAATACAGCCATTCTGCCACTGCTCACATTGTTTAGGTAATTTTTTTTGACCAGTTCCTCATTACAGGAAATTGAGCTATTGCTAAATTGCATCCATTTCTAAAGTAAAAAATATTTATAAAATAAACAGCTATGTGAGTTTTTTAAAAAAGTCCTCTGAAATTACCGATTCAATTCTATAATGACAAATATCAAAGACAAAATAAGGTATTTAGGAAAAAAAAAAAAACAGAACAATGCAGTCTCTAGCTGCTCTAGTTGTATATTTTTTAGCGTATTTCTAAAATGAATGTTCATGTGGAAAGTCTTAACAGCTTACAGATGGCCCAGACCAATTTTTCTATTTTACCTTTTTGTTTCTACAAAACTGAA